CCCGGGAGCGCCTACACCTGCCTCGGGACCGGCAGGTCCCCAAAATGCGCTGGGCTACTGGCACCCGGACCAACTTCGGATCAAAGGCTCAGGATAGTTAATAAAGGCGGATGTGCTAATATATGCTGCTTGCTCTGCGATCCAAGACGTGTATCTGCATTTCTGAGCTGCCCCATGCTGAAGCTGCAGGCTGACAGCGTTTATTTCTGCGGCCGTGCTGGTGCGTGCAGCCGCCGGCCATTCATTCGCCGCCTCCGAATTACGGTGGGGCAGCTGCAGGGGCTGGGGAATGGATCCATGTTAAAAATAGTTCAGAGAAAACAGAACAAGCTCTTTTTAACCCAAGCCAGTCCCATGACCTGGAAGGCATATCTGTGAGACTATCCCCAAACAAGGTGTTATTCAGTTCTTTTACAGGTGGGTGCAAACAAATCACATAATGCATGAATGATAAATTAGTTTATTTTTGTTCATCAATTCCTCATCTCACAACTTTAAAATCTGTACATCTTTGAAAAAGGCATTGATTTAAAATTCTTCTTAGCTATCCAGCTCTAAGACTACTATTCTTATTTAAATTTAAAGCAGCGGCTCCCTCGTATTAAACTTCGATCTTTTATAATAAATGAGCATGAAGCAGGTAAGTAAACAACAACTTAATTCACGGATAGCAGCCAGCTTTCTAGAGCTGTGTCTATGAAGTGTATGTCCAGCATCTGTGCACTGAGAAACTACTTTTTCAAAAAGAGATGAGGTCTTTTTGTGCTGGGTAACCAAACACTGCGCACGCTGAGAACAGGTCGTCTTGTGCAAGCAAGTTACACAGACAGGGGAAAAGCAGCATCCTCAAAACTGTAAGCTGTGAAAGAGAAAAGAATGAACTGCCAGGCCAGCAAGGAAGGGACACAGGGTAAGAGGCATCCAGCAAACTCACAATGTGCAGGCTGCGAAGGCTGGGAGCAGGGAAAGCGTGTCCAGGCCAGTATGCGGAAGATGAGCTGCGATCCTGCTATATGATCCCTTAATAAATGGTACACAGAAAGACAAAGCGTTGTTGTAATTTGCAGCAGACACGCTCATAGCTATTCAGGAGCTGACAGCAATTTTCAGGGAGTTGCAGTGACAGACTCCCTCATCTGGTGGTATCTTTATCTGCTGATAACAGTGGACTGTTGGGCTCTGAACATTTCTAGGTGATAGAAGCACTAAAGCAGGGGTGGAACAGACCCAGAAAATGGAAAGCTATTGGTTCTGTCTGGTTTCCCGTGCTGTTCATGGCTGCTGGAAGTCCCATCGCTCCTTCTCATATAGTAACATAGGCTGCTCTGGATTTCGCAAGAACTTAAGCTATCCACGCTGTGTCAAAACAAGGAGAAATGTTATGGATGAACTGCAAATGCCTTGAGACACTGGAGGAACAGCTAGGAACATCACAAGGCAGTTAAGATGTCGGGGCAATAAACAAGTCCCGTTTGCAGATGAGCAGAGAGTGAGATTCAGAGAAGCAGTAAGGGTCTGCCGGAGGATGCAGCACTGGCTGCTGCTGTTGGTTGTGATTTCTGACAGGTGGGGCAGTAGGAGCCAACGCAAGAGCTGTACTTATTACAATCTTACAGGATTATCCAGCTTCACGAGTCGTATACTAGGAATTACAGCGGAGAGGATTACAGGTAGCGTATACCATGGGAAGGGATAGAATGAGAGCATTTGGGTTTATAGGGAGAGTAAGAACAAAAACGTTGAGAACACAGTAGGTAGTAGCACAGCAGTTGCCGCAGAAGCAGAGCTTTCAATCCATCTGGAGTCCCAGGCTTTGCTTGGGAAGGAAGTAGGGCAGTTCTTCTGGTACGGAAGAGAGCACATGTACTGTTTAAAACACTGGAGGGGTGGAAGGGGAGCCGTTAGTGCCCAAAGAGCCTGCCCAGGATTGCTTCCAGCTTCTCCCCTGAAGCCTCAGAATAACCTCATTAGGTTCTGTACAAGAAACAGTTATTAGCAATAGCAGTGGGTGTGAAAAACACTCAGAAGCAGATGAAACATCTCTAGTGTGAAACTGTGCTAAGGATCTGCATTTATCATGAACTATGTTTAGAGAAGTGCTACACCCAGGCTGTGGAAAGTTTGCACAAGGAGAATTCCTCAGAGAGCATACACTGGAAACAGGGTCAAGAGTTAACATCTGATGTAAATGGGCACTTCTGAGCCTCTAGTTGGCTGGGCCCAGATCATGAGAACTGAAGCGTGACTTCAACCATATTTGGGCCTAGATTTTCAGGAATGAAGGAAACCCCTTAAATGAACAACCCATCTCCAGCTTCCCAAGAACACCCTGCATACCAGCAGTAAGGCAATACTTAAACAAACACTGTCCTCACCATTCTTTATAACACCACCTAGTGAATGTCTGCAGCTACAGATGGAAAGGACGGGGCGTTCTCCTCCCTGAAGCCGATCCTTTATTCTAGAGCGCAGGAGGGAGCGCTTGTTTGCGCTCAGCTACACACAGCAGCCATCTGGGCCATACAGCTGCACCCAGTACTCACAAGTTTAGGAAGAACAGAAAAAACAAGCTTGTGCCCAAAGATCTCACAGTGGAAATTAAATGTTAAAACAACAAGTTACATGCAAACAAAACAAGGCCAGTTTGGGCAGGGCTCTCGGGTAGCTGTAACCTCCCTGAACATCCTCTGTGGCCACTGTGGGCCATCGGAAGGAGTGATGATTTGAGAGGGCAGGTTGAGTGGAAGGAGCAAGAGGAAAGGTGCATCCATGGCGTTTCTGAGGTAATGGCAGACTTGTGGTTGTCTAAAGAGCTTTTCCAGTTGAAATGGTCTTCACTGAAAATTTACCATTTACAGCAACAACTGAAACAGAAGAAGAGTACAGGCTAAAACCCTGAGCGCTACCAATATAAACACTGGTTCTTTTGGAAGAGCAAATGATGATATCATACATCACACCCTTCCTGTGTAAACAGGAGTGCCAACATGAGAAAACATGCATTGTAAACCATATGTCCAGTTGGTTATGGCTTTTTTGAGTAGCTCCCGAGGGCCGCAGAAAAGATTAGTGAGGCCAAAAGCACTTCTTTGGATCAGACTCGGGTGGTTTCAGGCACTTCCCTAGCTTCTCGCAGCCTGGGGGAGACCAATTCTGTTAAAAACAAACAAACAAGAGAGATGCAGAAAAATGAAGTCAAGTATTCACGCAAATATCTGCTAAGCCCTGTACCCTAACTGCCCCTTTTTGATTCTCACAAAGACTCTCTTATGTCCTGTTTGAAAAATGAAACTTCTCTTGCAGCTCTTCCCAACTCCAAATCCTATCCAAAAGGCTTTAGGAAAGACTACAGATCCTTCTGCAACAGATGATTCTCTTTTTTCCTGAGATAGAGGCAGCGGTCTCCCCTGTGCATGCTGCAGTCTAATGGGACTGTGGTGACGTTCCTGTCATGCCTTGCAGGAACCAGACCGACCATAAAGTTTTGGTGAAACCCCTCAGTTTGCCTGGGATCCAGAAAAGAGTTATAATTCTTAGCCCTAAGATATCTATGCGCTTTCTTGAGGAAACAAGCAAAAAGCAATAGTCTTTGAAGGCCGAGGGTGAGAGAGAGAAGAATGCTTGTATTTTAAAGAGCATTTTGACAGATGAATTCAGGAGTAGATGGAGTAAGAGGCATTTATTGTGACAACTACTCCAATGTATGCAAACCAAAACTATTTGCCTCCCTTGTTTCCAAGTTTCTTGAACCACCTTGCTTCACCATGAGTACAACAGGGAGACAATGTTGACAGGGAAACTCACTGCAAACCTCAGCTTCCAAAGGGATTAAAGGAGGAAGGAATTTGGCTACAAGAATCTTTTCAATTTAATTGATTTTTGTAATTTTATATTCGGGACTGCAGTAATGCAAATTAAAGGTTACAATTCCTGTTGTGCCTTCAGAAATCTTTTGTGTTCATTCTCTAACCCTCCCTCTCTCTACGTCTACCCATCCATTGGAGAGTTGCGCTGTCACCTATTAAAGGTCAATTCACCTCTGACCTACTGCCTTTTATTTTATTTTTCTTCTCATCATTTGCATTTGCTTGCAATTGAATTCCTTTGGGGAAAAAAAAGGCTTAGCACTAGAAAAAAATGCTGAAGCAAGTTTATATATTCCATGTAACTGACAACAGATGGCAGTGGCACACCAGCTATCTCTGCAAGCAAGGAAGACCAGGGAGGGGAATTTTGGCGGAAGGCACCTCACTGCATGGAGGGCTCCAGACAACGTAGAAACAATTAATTCTGGTTTTTAAATCTGTTTCTCATTTTCAAAATGCACAGCCACTGCAGGAAATTTCATATGCTTGACCATTCTGCAGAAGCAATAGAGATCCAAAGAAACAAAGAAAACATTCATTCGTTTGAAAAAAACAGGTTGTATCTGCTTCAGTCTCACAATCCAAGTCGGCTTTCCTGGATCCGTGCTTTAAGCACTGGGAGCTCTGAGCACACTGTGCACGCTGCAAGTCAAACACGCAGTCAAGCCAGCACAGAACAATTTCTGCTATACTTCCACAAGAGGAAAACACAGCAGAACTCGCTCCACAGGGGCTTCATCTACACTACTGGTAGGACACTCCACAGAGGAGCCAGCAAACACATGCGCTGCTCAGAGGGGTGGAAGCTGCCGCACTTCCATCAATCCCGAAACTGCAGTAGCAGCTACAAAATGATCCGTACGCTTTGCTCATGGATAAGCAAGAACAATTCTTCGCTTCTGTCCCCAAAAGGATATTAAATGTCCAGATCGAATAAATGGCTGACCGAATTTAGAAGACTGTTCAGCATAGTATTACTAAGTGATATTTATCCCTCAGTATTCCCCAAAGACAGATTTAGGGCACAATCAACCCCAGAGATACCATCACCCAAACAAGATTTGGTTATCCTCATGTCTGGTCTCAAACGACAAGCAATAATTTGCTGCCTCTGTTGATTTTAGTTTTGTGACTGTATAATTAGCCAGTTTACATGGAATGTAAAATCCGTAATGTAAAAAGGCTCCCCTCTGGGATCTGAACATTTCCCCAGGGATATGAACGCTACCCGGCCCACTAGAAAGAGCTTTCTGTCTCAGACAGCCTGAATAATCTGGTTAGAGCTGGGCCAAGCATCGAAGCAGTCGTTCACTGCCTCTGCTTATAAGCTACGCAAACACAGTTGGACTCGGCCAAGGCCAGGACGTTACCATAGCCAGAGCAGAGCCCACACCCTGGTGAAAGAAAAGGCAAAACTTCTACCTAATTGAGACAAGCGACAAGACATCCTCAGGGAAAAGTCTGACTCTCAATACCCCCCCAAAGAGAGGGATGAGGTACAGAACTAAGCACAGGACCTCTAATCCAGCACTTCTTCCATTATACAACCTCAAGACGGAGGGTGTTGACGAATACGGATACCAGATGCCTTCACAGCACCTAAACACACTGCATGAGGGTAGCTGCAGAATAACAGAATATGGCCACACTTCATGAAACAAATTCTGGAGTTAAGTGTCAGTAGAGAAGAAATGCCTTTCCAGTCTCTGGCAGCAGCTAGGCACTGGGGAGAGTGCCTGAGCCCATAAGGAGGCTCCCAGAGGAGCATAGAACAGCGTTTATTAAGGGAAAAGTTGAATAACAAAAGAAAACAACACAGAAACAATGGTCCTTCAACTCTTTTTCCTATTTAACATCCAAAAATAAAAAGATGTGACAAAGCTAAGAAAGGTCTTTGCCTCCTTGCTAAGGAGAGATCGTTCCACCTTTTGCACTTTTCCACCTGGCTAGAAACAGACCCTAAGCGCCAGGTATTCCTCTTTTGCTTTAGAAGATTATTTCAGCCTGTTATTATTTTGTGCCAGCCTTTACAGGCACATGCCCTTAGACTACACAAACTCTTGTCATCTGACAGCCTTACCCCCTTCAAACCATCTAGAAACCAGGTTCTATATAAACCAAGTCCTGTTTCAGAGGAAAGCCGAACTGTAACTTTCCAATACGCTGTTCAAAACAATACAGAATTGGAAACAAGTACGGTATGTCTCAAGTCATAGAGACTTTGGAAAAGGTAGGCGTGGGTGGATTTAGGGAGACAGCGTAAGACCAAGGATACTCACACACATCACTGAAAAGACAAGAGCCACTGTCCCAGTCCCACCACTCAAAATGCAGAGGATTTTCTGAGATTTGCAGAGGGGGATTAGAAAGGAGGAGAAGGACCTACAGCTGTAGATACCGCGATATCTCTAAGGAAGGAAGTCACAGGGTTTATCACAGTGTGCTGGTGGACTTTCCAGACCTAATTCTACTCACTTTGTACTAGCCCTTCTGTGCTACTGCATTCCTCAGATAACAAACAGCTGGCTCTTCAGTGTAATAGCCAGATAGCCCTTCAAAAGGGCTATCGTGCATTTCTTCTCTGTCCCCTTCCAGCGTTAGGGGAGATTTTTAAGCCTTTGCAAAATGTGTTTTAAGCCAAGGATTCTCATATTTATTTATGTTTTAACCCCTTACCATGATGGCCTTGTCGCATACGTTAAGCTGTGGCTCTCCTGGCACCATGGTCCCTTTGTGTTGCTGGACAACGCCAGATATTCGCTCCATAGCTTCTTGATACTCAGCACTGGCAAAACTAGAACGTGAAAAAATTACAGAGTTACAAGAGGGACTGCCAGAATATATCTGGCTTAATACACCGCATAGTTAAACTGTCTACATCACTAAGCTATTTCAGAAGACTATTCCTGGGCAATAGTGAAAGAGAAGCGCATGTAAACATGCGGTCAATGCTGACCACCCCCCGCCCCGGATCCTAAGGGAAGGAAGCACACGGGCTGGCTGGGCAAAGAGGCACATGGCAGACCATCTCCAAAGGAGCTCCAGCTCAGAAAACTGCTTGCCCTATTTGTCCCAAATGCCTCACTTTCTAGATGGCTGGGTATGCTGCAAGCTTATGCTGATTCCTGAGGAGGATCTAACTGGCAAATTGGCATGTACAAGAAAGGGTGCTTCTGGGCTTGTCCTGAAGTTCAACTGTGCTTTAAATGATTGCCTAGGGAGACTTCCTAGAACACAGGACAAACACCTTGCCACAGACGTTAAATAAACAAACAAGTTTGCTGAGGAGATCCTTCTAATGTGTCACGGTAGAGGTCAGCTCCTTCTCTTTGCTTTCATCCTTCCCTCTTCCAAGTGCTTTTCAGTAACACATGCATCACACTGAGGCATTTATTGTAGGGAAATGAAGGTAATGACAATACTTTGTTTTTCAAGAGTTCTCTCAAACGCAGGATTTCAAACCATCTTATTTACAACTGTTGAATAATAAAACTTCACAATCACCAAGTAAGATGAACTAATACTATGCAAACAGGAAGACGGAGAAGAAGAATAGAAGTGACTTGTCCAAGACAAGAATACTTCCTCCATTTCGCAACATCCATCCCGTGGTCCTGCCTCATGTACTTTCTTCCATTACAGCTTTATTGTTCCAAGCACGGACCCATCTGTCATGCTCAAGCCCTCATACAAATTTTTCTAAATAACCAGATTTTTATCCAAAGTATTACTCCAGTAGGTACTTGTTTAAGTGGTTCATGGCGTACTTCACTAACATTTCAAGTATTTCTAAAATGAGGGATTTTTACTCAATGATCTCATTTTGTCCATCACATCAAGAGTCACTTAAAAAACAGAGAGCGGCAAATTGCTTCTGAAGATAAAAGAGAAACAATGCAACTTGGTCCTGACCTCAGGCTCCCTTTGCTTACAGTCCAAGCTGGCCACCAGCCCCACACTCCAGCTAATTTCCTTCTTTGCAAAACAATCACATTTTGAAGCCCAGTAACGTGCCAACAGTTTCCAGTAAACCCTAAAAATATCACATCTCGGCAGCCATCCAGAGAGAAGCTGATTGTGGGGATGGGCCTGAGCTTTGCTGATAGAGAACCGGATGGGAATTTGAAATGACAAGCTCAAGAAAACTAATCTGTTGCTCTCACACCCAGCTAGCTGTATCCTGGTGCAGAAGCCATCACCAGGACTGGCTGTATGACCTGTATAGACCACCCTGAAAGACCATGCTGCTTGTGGAGCTCCCGCATTTGCATGCACCTCTCCTCACACATCCCACCTTAGCTCTAATAGCAGTGAACTGCACGCTCCTGTGTTCCTGCAAAGACTATGCGGAAAATGGAGATACAGGCAGAAGTTTGGAAGCTGCCAGAGACCCATCTATGACCCACAGTCTCAGTGAGGACACTAAAGGCAGCAATCACTTGACTCAGTGAGTTTAGGAAGTGTTGCATCCCAGTGGCATAACGGCCTTTCAATTCAGCAAGATTTTATCTGGAAGCCCTCTGGTCACATTTCAAACACTCAGGACTGCCAGTACGGCAGCATGCTTAAAGGAAAAAAAAAAAAAATCGAAAGAGATTTTTAAAGGAGGTTGGCAGGACTTAAAGCTAACCTGTGCTGACATACAGAGGAGTGCTAAGACAAGAGAGCCTGCGCACGGAGGGAAACTGCTGCAGAGGGAAACATACAACGGGAGTATACCTAAAGCAAGGAGAGAGTCAGAGATGTCCACAATACACTGGACATCTGAGCTGGATCCTCCTCTGCTGAGACTAGATGCTACAGGGGATTGGAAAAGAGAACATTTTAAAGCCTAGATATTCTAGTGATGCAAACTGAGACAAAACACAGTTTAATGAAATACATTTATTTCAGTGTTTTAGATTTCTAATGCACCTATTGTTCCAGGATTTGAAAGCTCTTTCCAAACCCTAACTAATCACACTCTATTAAGGCCCCCATATTAAGGATTAATATGAATTAATACATATTTTAACCAATTGTTAGAGTCCAACAGATTCTAGATATCTAATCATTTAATACCTTCTGCTGCTGCTGCTTTTCTAACCATCTAACGTGTTTATTTCTGTCACATACTTGTACCAGCTCTCCAGCGTTTAAGAACTTCTTTGGAAGTGGACCCATAAGATAAAATGTTGTCGCAAACTAATTAAGCTCCACAGCATCTTTGCAAATATTTAAGTGCTTAAGAGATAGCCCAATTTCATCCCTCAAAATGGATTCTCGTACAGAGGATTCCAAATTAGCTATATAATCTGGACGGACCAGTGGAAAACACAGCTGTGGTCTGGATGAAAGATAAACAATATGTTGTCGTGACTGCTGCTTTTTGCTCCAAATATGCCAGTCCTCTTGCAATGAAAAAAATCTTTTGGCTATAATCTTTTAAATACTGCATTTATCCACAGCATTGCTGCTCACTAGCAACCTAAGAAACATGAATACTGTGGTATAACAAAGTAGTCCAGAGTAATTCAAATCATCTTCATACTTTGATTCTCATGTTCAGGACACTCCTAGCGTTTTCAGCTAGCTCAGCAGTGACATGAAATCTTGGCCTAACCTCAGTTCCTGGTGTTTTTGAACTGCTCTCACCTGCAGCTTCTACACTCTTAGATTATCTCAGCATTTAGCATAGGCTGAATGACTTCCCCAGAGCACGACAGAAACAGCTTGGCACGTATAAAAGAGACACACTTCGCACATAAGCACAAAGCTGGCTACAGCTAAAGAACATATACAGATTATGCTCCAAGTCATACAGCTAACCTATAAACCTTGTCTCAGTAGGGCTTAACATGCTCTTAAGCAGGCTAAACCTGTTGACACTAGCTTAAAAAATATCCGATTGCAGCTGTCTTCCTCATGTTTAAGTATTTGACAACGGCGGGACCCCAAATGCTGTGAGGAATCATTCAGTACCGTCACAATCACAGATTTGTCTTCAAGCGCCTCAATTAAACAGACAAGCTGTCTTCCTCATCTAGGCATCTATCAAGTCTCCATGCATATGAGGGGACTGCAATGCCTGCAAGCTGGCACTAGCCCTGGGGCTTGCATTCATGTAAAGCTAGAGTCGTGCACTAAAACAAAGCAGTGCTCGCTCGCTATAGGTTTTTTTTTTCCTCCTGTTGAAATACTACAACCTCCTTCCTCACTTTGATGAACTTAGGTTTTGTCCAAACTGACCTGTTTAGCTCCACAACGTGTTACCAAGATCCAACATCCATGCAGTGTTTTGTAAACGTAATGTTTACTGACTGCATATACTGGGCTAAAACGGCCTCTGGCCCTAGGAAAGAAGTGCATTCTGAGACAAAATCTGCAACAGAAGAATGCCTTTAGTCTGTATGTAAGATGGGGACAACTACTTCATGGTAAACAATCTGAGTTGTTAATGGGTCTGGGAACCTCTTTTATTCTTACAAGGAGCCCCATCATTTCCTTGAGTGGGAATGCTGGATTTGGGCAGGATCTGCTACAGTCTCTATTACCAAAACAAAAACAAAAACAAAAAAATCTATACAGGTGTTGCATATTGTCTGAATGAAGATCCAGACTCACTGCCTCCAGGGCATGCTGCATTTCGTATTCTAGTTCTACAATCCTGCAGAAGGAGAGCTGGGAATAGCACTGAAAGAATGAGAGAGCAGGAGCAAGGGTGAGCAGGTGGTGTTGAGAGGAGTTTGCTAAAAGGGATCCCCCAGTGTACATGAAATTATTCCATGCTCAGAATGAACGCACGGAGTGGACAAAGTCCAGGGTCATTACACTAATTGACACTTTACCTCCAGGAAGTCTCTGGAGAGCCAATCAGGGCTGGATTGCAAGCGCCGGGTCCCAGGCACAGGTGTGGCCTGTGCTTAGTTCATTTAGCGTAATTGTGCCTTGGCAATCTGTTCTCATCTCCTCCCTCTCCAAACAGCTCCCAGTGTAACCTGCTCTGCTATTAACCCCACCATGCCCTACAGTGAAATTCAGGTTTGGAAGAAGGAGGGTTTGTCTAACACACTGCCTTCAACATCAGAGCGCCATTTTTATCTTGGAATCGTCACAGTCTTTCACCTTCAGGTCTGCTATTACTCTGAGCTGTAAGGAAGAGGACAGAGTAATTCTTTATCATAACAAAAACACTGTCAAAGACGTCAGAACCCAAGGCAATTAAAAAGCATTTTCAGCATTTTTTAAAATCTAGATCTTGATGTATTAATTTATACCTCTCCCTGATGATTCACATAAAAGCACAGCACAGTATCTCTATCCTAAGAGCAACAGGACCGTGACATTATCGAGAGAAACGTAACCAAATGATTACTATATAGCGCGCTTCACGGAAATCTGACAGTGGGCTCTTAATAGCAGCTTTA